AAGACGCTACATATTCTGCTTCCGTGCTACTAAGAGCGACTGATTTCTGCTTCCTGGATTCCCACGATATAGGACATTCACCAATTGAAAATATAAATCCGGTATATAAGTACCGGTCTACTGGTTTACCACCCCAGTCCGCATCTACGTAACCTTTCAGGTTACTTCCATTAGGTTGATATGTCAGTTTCTTGTTGATCGTTCCAGCCAAGTATCTTAGAATATGTTTCAGACCAACCATATCTGCCTTTCAAGGGTCAGCATTTTTCTGAGCCAGTTTCGATACTGAATGCAAGATGTCAGTCTCGTCTTGTAGACGTTGCTAAATATATCGGGGCTCTAACGAGAGATTGGTACTCGGTTTGATCTACACGTTCGTCATCGTCATTACAATTTACCTTATAAACGGGTTGCAATGGTACCTGATGTGTTTTACAATCTTCCATTCCATATTGTTGTAATAAATCACGAATGTATTGGCTTTGGTTTGATCATACCCGCCTCCCCTTGTCTTTCAATCTCTATACCCAGGAAGTGGACTAACTGTCCCTTATCGCTGACATCGAACTAACTCACTTGCCAAATTATTTTTGATCTCCAAAAACAACCATTTTCTCTTTGCACCCAATAATAATGTCATCTACGTAAACGGCGATCAACACTAGCATATTTCTCCTCATGCCTTTGTAGAGAGACAGGGTTCGTTTTCACATGGTTTAAAATTCATTTTACGCAATGTTGCAGACGTTCTTTTACGAGAGAATTCAGGCCAGATAGATTTTGAGATTCTGCAAGCAGGTTCCCTTAGCCATCTGTTACCAACTACCTCGAAATGGAACGCACGGATTCTGCCAATGAAATAGCCAATGAGAGGTTTCACAGATCTCTCAACCAGAAGATTGGACGACTGTGAGCCCTCTCGTGCAAGCTCGTCGGCTATCTCATTCCCTTCAAAATCACTATGTCCCGGAACCCAACATAAACCAACTATCTGTCGTAAATCATTCAAAGCGGACTTACAATCATGAACTGCTTTCGAGTTTCGAGTATGCGACTTCACCGCTTTCAGGGCCGCCTGACTAACGACATATATAGTCGCCGATACCGTAATGTCGGCATTAAGTGATTTTACTATCTCGGCCGCTTTCGTGATTGCAAGAATCTCTGCTTGAAAAACGCTACAGTTATTGTTGAGTTTGTATGAGTTGTATATTCATAATTCCCTACAGTAAATCCTGCGCCAGTGCCTTCCTCCATTTTAGACCCGTCTGTAAAGATTGACAGACCTTGCAGAGGTAAGGAGACACTAGTCCAGGATTGTCATTAAAGTCCCTGTGAGGGGGAACATAGTCACTGATATGACTATTCCCCCTAAAGAGGTCATAACCTGGCGTTATGTTTGGGATTCTGGCATGACCATAGTTCAGCGATTTCAAGGCATCGGTTTCGCGGAGTCTCAGAGCACACCTGGCCGCCTTGAATTTAATCAGAATATCCAAAGGTTGGGGATTCAAAATTGCGTTCAAGGCTGCCTGTGGTGTACTTCTTAACCCTTTCAGTGTCAAACAAATTTTTGTCGGAATAAAAATCTAAAATTTTGTACCTAAAATCATATAAAGGCATAGAGTTTTCATTTTAACCCTCGGACAGTTTCGTCTGTTTTTCAGCAAAAACAAAACCATCAATATTAACGGTACATAGGATAACGGAAAAATCGCAAAGAAAAAGAGAATTTTTTAAATGTCGAATATATTCGACAAAAACACTGAAAGGATTAATGCTCCGGTGATCAGTATAATTTCGGGTCTCAATACCCAGCTCTTACCTATGGAATTCTTGCATGAATAGAGTGCCAGCAATCCCTTCTTAGAGCGTTCCTCAACATTCCTATACCACAATAGTTTGCGGTCTAGGATGGTGCCAAGATATTTTGCTTCTTCAGAAAGGGTTAAAGTCACTCCTCCAAGTGATGGCCGACGAAAACTAGCTTTTAGTGGGGTTTACACCAATACCTTTGGTATCTAGTTTAGAGTTGCACTCCTGTCCGCTTTGTTTTAGTCCATAAATAGCCCTATGGAGACGTAGAACTTTGTTCGGCGAACTATTTTCCTCAAGATTCGGTGGCTGCTGCATATATACCTTATCATGGAATTCACTGTTCAAATATACAGTACTGACATCGATTTGATGTAAAAACATTCCCTCCTTCCTTCACAGCCAGTGTTAATAAAATTCGAATAGTTGAGTAGCGAGCGACAGGTGAATATATATTGTTGAAATCAATTCCGTATCGTTGGTGACAGCCTTTTGGCTACTAGGCGAGCCTTATACCTCTCAATTTCACTATTTACATTCCTTTTTGTGGCATAGACTCACATACCTGGTATAGCTTTTTGTCCTCTTTTGGAAGATCCACCAGCGACCAAGTCCTATTCTTGCAAAGAGCACGGTATTCATCTTCCATTGCCTTTAACCATATATCTCCATTATTATCAGATATTGCCTGCTCCATCGTGTTTGGAATATTTCCGCCAACAGCATGACATAGGACCTCATTAAGTTGCTTTCGTAGACGACCAGGCTTTCCCTTGCGAATAATTTTAGGCCTAACTGCACCAACCTTCTTCGGCATATCCTGTGCTGCATCAATTTCCAAGTCACTCATATCATCCTCGGAATACACTGCACTTTGATTTTCAACTCAATAGTCATTTCCATTTCGATGTAAATTATTGTCTGCGACTCTTTCATTACCATCGAAATCGATTTGGTCTTGCAGAATATAATCAAAATATTTACAGCCTTTTGGCTACTAGGCGAGCCTTATACCTCCAAATTTCACCATTTACATTCCTTTTTATGACATAGACCCACATACATGGAATATCTTTTTGTCCTCTTGGAAGATCCACCAGCGACCAGGTCTTATTCTTACAAAGAGCACGGTATTCATCTTCCATTGCCTTTAACCATTTGTCTCCATTATTACCAGATATTGTCTGCTCCACCGTGTTTGGGATATTTTCGTCAACATCATGACATATGACCTCATTAAGTTGCTTTCGTGGACAACCAGGCTTTTCCTTGCGAATAATTTTAGACCTACCTGCATCAAACTTTTTAGGTATATAATGTGCAGCACCAATTTCCTCATCTCTGGATTCACATTCATTTAAAGCTGTTTCGAACCATTCGAAGTCACTCATATCATTACCATGGGAATCAATTTGGTCTTGCAGAATATAATAAAAAAGGTTATCACACGTGGAAGATCCTTCTTCATCAGATAACTCACTGCATTTACCAAAAGGATTCTCATCAAAAAGTACATCCCGGCATTCGATGATTTTATTTTTATCCGCATCAAACAGTCGGTACGCCTTTGTTGTTCGTGCCATCACCAAATCATTGGAACGTGTTGTCGCTCATTAAGTTGCTTTCGTCGACGACCAGGCTTTACCTTGCGAATAATTTTAAGCCTACCTTCACCAACCTTCTTCGGAATATCCTGTGCAGCAACAATTTCCTCATTTCTGGATTCACATTCATTTTCAGCTGATCCGAACCCTTCGAAGTCACTCATATCATCCTCGGAATACACTTCCTTTCGATGTAAATTATTGTCTGCGATCGGAATCAATCTGGTCTTGCAGAATATAATCAAAAAGTTTATCTATTAATTTCTCTTTCGAGATGAGCTACATGATCGGAGTTGCAATGAAAAGGAAAGCCAGAGAGATACTACATTCCCACCAATATGCGACGTGTTTCGACGTTGGTTAAGTGGCTCATCAGGCACATTGGGCAATGTGGCTTACAAATTTCTTTACTTGATAAGTTGTATTTATGTCGACTGTTGTTGCGAAATTGCATCTACGAATTAAATTCAACCGTGTCAAGGTTCGGACATTTGGCATCACACCAGAACATTCCTTTTCAGAGTTTATCGCTCGTGGAAGATCCTTCTTCATCAGATGGCTCTCAGATTTTACCAAAAACGATTCTCATCAAAAAGTACATCCCGGCATTCGATGACTTTATTTTGTATCCGCATCATTCAGTCGGTGCGCCTTAGCTGTCGATGAATATCCTACCATTATACATCGCCTGCCTTTAGCATCGAATTTGGATTTCTTCCCAGTCGATATCTAAGGCCACAGCACATGCTCCAAATATTCTGAAATGTTGAACGGTAGGCTTTCTACCACACCATTCTTCATACGGCGTTTTGTTTTCCAGCTGATTTGTAGGACACCTATTTCTAATATAAACGGCGGTGTTAATTGCCTCTGCCCATAAAGCTGGTTTCACATTTGCTGCATACACCATCATGGATCTGACCATTTCCACAAGGGTACGGTTGGCCCTCTCGGCTACCCCGTTTTGTTGTGGTGTATGAGGAACAGTCAACTGCCGTGTGATGCTTTCTTTTTCAAGATATAAATCAAAACTCGAATTAATATATTCGCTTCCATGCTCCGAACGAAGTGATTTTATCTTCCAGCCTGTCTGCTTCTCAACTTGGGCTTTGAAAATCTTAAACTTTTCAAATACTTCCGATTTCGACCGCATAGAATAGGCAAATATCTTTCTGGACTTATCGTCGATAAATGTTAAAAAAATTAAAAGCTTTACAATAGGGATATGTAGTCGAGCGCAAAAGTCGATTTTTCGTCGATTTCGACTTTTAGACATTTCAATACAAAAGGTCGATTAGTCGAAAATCGATTTACTTATCCCTACTTTATAATAGGCGCGAATTTAAATAAAATTTAAAAGCCTTACAATAGGTGCGTATTTAAAAAAAAAATTAAAAGCCTTACAATAGGTGTGGATTTAAAAAAATTAAAAGCCTTACAATAGGCTTGGTGTTTTGAATATTTTTTTAAGAATTTTCAAAATTTTTTTATGAAAATTATCTGAAATTAATTTTTTTATCTTTTTCTTTGCAGCTCCCATTTTAACCTCCCCCACAAAAATTACTAACACACACAATCAAAATGACAGTCGATGCTCTCTACAATCGTCCCGGTCCCAATCGCCTCATTCCCAGTGATGTCTACAAGACCACCGATGTCACCCAGGCTGTTAAGATACGCATTGCCAAGGATGGCTTGGGCGCTGAAGAGCCCATTTCCATTCCCGGCATTTTGAAACGTACCGTCAACAATTATCCCGATCATCCTGCGTTGAGAACCAAAAATGCCAAAAGGGAATATACCACCGTGACCTATAGGTAAATAATTTTTTCGAATACACAAATATTGAAATTTTGATTATTATTTTTTTCCTCTCTCTCTCTTCTCTCCCCCGTTAGACAATATGAACAAAAAGTCCACCAAGTGGCCAAGGCTTTCATGAAATTGGGCTTGGAACCCCATAATGCTGTCGGTGTATTGGCCTTCAACTGTGCCGAATGGTTCTACTCGGCCATGGGTGCCATTCATGCTGGCGGTGTTATTGCCGGTATTTACACCACCAACTCCCCCGAAGCCTGTATGCATGTCCTTCAGGATTCACATGCCCAAATTGTTGTGGTCGATGATGCCAAACAAATGGAAAAAATCCATGCCATCAAGGATAAATTGCCAAACTTGAAGGCAGCCATTCAAATCCAGGAACCTTATGCTCCATTCATGAAGAAGGAGGATGGTTATTATAGGGTAAGTAAAGGAGGATATGATTTTTTTTGTTCGAACTTCTAATGGACTTCATGAATTTTGTTTTCCCATTTACCTTTGCAGTGGTCTGAAATTGAAGCCATGAATGTTTCCGATCAGGATGATGCACTCAAGAAACGTTTGGAAAATATTGCCATCAATCAATGCTGCTGCTTGGTCTACACCGTAAGTATTCCTTACCATCGTCCTTCAATCGCATTGCCGAACTTGTGATTTATTCCTTTGCCAAAGATTCAATTCATTTTCAATTTCTTCTTCTGCATTTGCTTCTAGTCCGGTACTGTGGG